ATATATATATATATATATATATGATCTAAATTATATGAAACTTTTTAGTTCGTTATATCATTTTAATACAATATGTAAATTATAATTAAAAATTAATGTATTATGAAGAAGAGCTGATATAAATGTACTCAGAAGATAAAAATTATGCAAGATAATTATAAAATTAATAATATTAAAACATTAAATCGAAGCGTATGTACATTTGAGTATTTTCTTCTAAATTTCTAGACGCAAATCTCAAATCAAAAAACCATCCGACCCTGTATATAACTGTACGATGATGTAATGCACTTTGTTGCGTTGATTTTCCTGCGAAATTACACTGTACATTTAGTGGAGAAAAAATAGAAAAGAAGCTCGATGGCAAAATTGAACACATATATTGTTCGTGACCGGTATGAATTACACATCGACGATTGCGTTCAGAATGCGAGAGAGGCATATTTCGTTGGATACAACGTGCACTTTCGTCCGACCGATCTTTCGATTCTAGAAGCTATTAGTGCATAATGCACTTGACCATACAAAAGCCGAGAATGGGTCAAGGTTTAACGACTGGCGCTTTGCTATTTTATAGAGCATCAAATTGCATTCATCGAAATTTCAATTATTTTAATGATTCTCACTGTACTCAATTATTATTATTTGTATAAATATAATTGCAATAAAAACATTTAATAAAACTTATCTGAAAGAATTTTAAAGACATTTAAGAGGAAAAATTTCTTCTGACGAAGAAGTAAAACCAACACAGTAAACATTTAAACACATTTTCTTATTATTGTATTTGTAAATATAATGAATATTAAATTATTACTAATATACTGTTAACCCTTCAATACAGATCTGTCACAAAATACACGTTCTCCGCAATTACATTTCACGAAGTAAGCGCAGCGAGACAACTGTATCACGGAAAAGAGGCAACAATACTTCGAGAGATGCGAATATTGATGTCATGCCATTTTTTAGAAACGGTAAACAAAATTTGTAAGTTACAGTATACCGCCGGCATTAGCATTACCAAGGTGTACCGCGTGGAGGTTGCCTGGTCGGATTTACACCTCGTGTGTGTGTGTGTGTGTGTGTGTGTGTGTGTGTGTGTGTATGGCGTGTGTACATGTGTGTGTGTGTGTGTGTGTGTACGGTGTGCGATGTGTGCGTGCGTCCGTATGTGTGTAATCTTACATCTTTAAAAAGAAATTTTTTTTAATCTACCCTTTTATTTTTCAGTATATTTTAATTTTTTATGTAATTTTTTTTATTTAATTTTTTAAATGAATGTGTAGGGTCATTTTCTTTTGTTCTCGAAAAATACTTCTTTCTCAATGTAGTCCTTAACGTATCAATATTTCCTGATACGTTAATCTTGGTTTGATGTAATTCTTGTGATTTACTTATTTCATTTGTTATATTTGCTTGTAACGAGTTCGAGATATCTGTAAGTATCTTGAATTTATCTCTACTTTGTGGTTTAATTGTATTTTCCCATATATCACAATCTTTATTTTTTATCAATTCAGCCAATAGTTTGTCACCTTCCGCTATGGCTTTATTTTGTTTTTCTGTAATCCTTTTTAATTCGACAATGTGCGATGATTCATTTAATAAATTTTGTAATTTTAAATCTTTAGTACGTAAATCTGCCAATTGTTCCTTTTTTGAATTCTTCTTTAATAATACTTTTTTAAGTTTAAATTGATGAGTACGCTGAAAGCAATAAAATTTAAATTATATGTACGATTTTCTTTTTAAATTGTATAATAAAAGAGCATGCACATAAAATATATGTGATGTAATGTATTTAGTTTACTACGTACCTTCACTTCGTCTTCTGCGCAAGTATTTATTTGAGTTTCATTTTTTATTAATCCTCTTTTATTAGTCCTCTCTTTCGATGTGGATGGTAAATTATTTGGATCATCAGGATCCAATATGGATTTAGATCCAATGTGGATTTTTGCAGGATCCAGTGGTGTCTAGTTAAGAAGTAAAAGTTAAAAAGTTAATAATTTTTAATTTAACTTAATTAATTTTAAACGAATTAATTGTTAATTTCAACTAGTTATTTTTAAACATATATATTTTTAAAACTTATTAACTTTTTTTCAAGTTAAAAATTTACTTATTTAAAAGAAAAAAAACATTTTTATATAAAAACAATATTTCGTTATTATTTTATATAAATTGAATTTATAAATAAAATATTAAATTCAATTGATAATTTGTATTGTAATCCTATTTTTTAAAATTACGACATTCTAATTTAATATAAATAATGTTTTTCGAAATTAACTTTTAATTTAAGTAAATTAATATACTATATATGTATATGACTCCAAATATATAAAAAAATCACAAAACAATTGACAATACAAGTCTACACCGTTGTTAGGGCGTTAAAAAAAAAAATAATTTCAATTATAAAAGTTATATATTACATAATTACGCGCGATGCAAATATAATTGGTACATAATTACGCATGGTATAACAATCAGACGTTTCCACGATGTGGATCCTCTTTAGTGAATAAAATTCCGCAATCCCCATATGGGGATATCCAGTCATGGCTTGCCTACCTAATCAGTTCGATCTCTCGTTCTATTGAGGATTTTTAACTATGGACCCTTCACGTTATTTTAATTATGGATTTTAATTCACTTTGATATAACGATCATTTTATTGTTTGGCTTCGTTGAGAGAGAAAGGGACTGGTACCATATGGGGATTGCGGAATTTTATTCAAGAGGATCCATATCAGGGATCGAAACGTTTGATTGTTATACCCTGCGTAAAGTTATTATCTTTAACTTATTTTAGTTATGAAAAAATATTAAAACTTACCCAAAGGATGTTCGGGTCATCATTTGAAATCTGTAATTAAAATGACACAAATTTTTTTTATCAGTCTAATAGTATCATACAGGGTGTTCCGAAAGGACCCCGCACAGATCTTATAAAAAATATGCCCCCGGTTAAATTGATTAAAACTGAAATATGTTGTTGTCCTCGACGTCCTGAACAAAAG